ACAGCGGCCGGATGCCCATGACTCCATCCACCACCGATGGGGGCAGTCAAAGGCTGGAGCTGAGCGGCGCAGGCTGAGCTCGTGGGGGTTGCCACGATGGAGAAGAGGGCAGTGAGGCTGGGTGACGTCCCGAGCGCGGCAAGGCTGCTGCCGTCAAGGCAAGGAGCTTTGCTGGGAGACCTGCAGGGCCTCCCAGATGGGGCCTGACCACCCAGGGACGCCAAAGTGATGGCCTGGCGGGCGACGTGGCTCCCCAGCGAGCTGGAAAGGAGACAGCTGGGAGATCAACAGACGTGTGACCCCCACCCGAGCACTCAGCCTAGCCAGGGCTCACCGCACTGGGCATCGCACCTGCCCCTGCCCCTAGGAAAGAAGGGGGGCCTGGGGGCGGCAACATCCTGCTGCTGTGAGGGCAGTTCATGGATGCTGGAAAGACCCCAGTCTGAGGCCAGGCCCCCACTGCAAAGGAAGGCAAAACCCCCCAGTCCGGACCAGTCTGAGCAGGGGGGAAACCCCTTCCTGCCCCAGTGCAGCGCGGCACTGAGCCTGAGCCAGGGGCAAGACCCTCCCGCCAGGACCCTGCAGGGCTGGTGCCAGCAGCAGTTTCACCCATATTTCCCTCCCCTCAAAGCCATACGGGGAGCAGGACACAGAGCCGTTCGCCTGGGTGTAAGGCAGCTGGGACCAGCCCGATAGCCTCCCCCCCCGCCACGCGCTGGCCCCGCTCCACGCACTTTCCTACGGGGATTTCTGACCCACAACCGGCTCCTCCCGGCTCCAAAACAGCTTCTGGCTGGAGGAGCCAGGCAGGGATTTTCCAGGCCTGTTTGCTGTGGAGACAGGATGGGATCAGGGCCCAGAATGCGGCCTCCAATGGGAAAACCCAGCCCAGCCCTGCCCTTGTCCTCTGCTCCCGGCAGCCGCTACGTTCGTGGCGCTGCGTTTTGCTTGCCCCGCGTTCGAGCCTGCAGGTCCACCCCAGTGCGTGGGGATGGACGGCATCTGGGGCTGCTGTTTGGAGGCATCTTCGGTGCGTGGGGGGCATCATTGCCACAGTGCTGGGCCAAGCTGGGAAACACGGCGGGCTCCAACCCCTGTGACTTGGCCCGCTCACCCCCGGGCTCCGCTTGGAGCAGCCCCAGGAGCCCTGGGCTGGACTCTTTCCAACCTGTCCACCTGCCCCTGAAAGTGCGGGACCCTGGACTGGACCTGGTGTTGCACGTGCTCACCAGAGGCCTGGTGCCAAATGCAGCTGCGCTCGGCGCTGCACGTACTCACCAGAGGCCTGGTGCCGGACGCAGCCCAGGCTCTCCTGGCCAGCTGGGGGCTGGAGGGGGCACAGGGACCCTGCTCAGGTGGGCACGCAGGGTGGCAGCCTGCACTGCCTCTGCAGCAGCTGCAGCAGGCGGTCCAGGAAGCACGGGGCCGGCTGCTCCGGGTGAAGCTCACAGGCCTGGCAAGGCCGAGCCGAGGCCCGGGGGCAGGCCAGGCGTTCCAGCCGCCACTCCAGCTGCTTGAGGTGCCGCCTGAGGAGGTTCACAGCTCCCCGGTGCTCCGGGCGCTCCCAGCGGATCACGTCCAGCTCCGTGCGGAAGCAGTTGAGGTTCTCCACCGTGCAGACCTGATGGGGGGCAGGAGGAGAGTGGGGTCCCCTGATCCCCCTCCCCAGACGCCCCAAAAATCAGACCTCTCCCCCCACTGCACCCTGCCACTCGCTTCTGGTCCCACCCTGCCTCAGTTTCCCCTCCCCATGCTCTGTGTCAGGGCGGGCCCTGGCACCCGCTGGGGGACAGAGCCTGCCCCAGGGAGGGCACCGGATCATAGGGCATTGAGCCTCCGACCCCCTCCCCGCCAGGAGCGCTATCCTTGGGCTAGAGGGGAAACCGAGGCACCAAGGGCAGGGCTGCCCCAGCTCCAGGGCCGCTGCCTGCACACAAGATCGCGGCTCAGGAGTGGGGCTGATGGATGTGACGCATGCAAAGGAGGGGGTGGGCAGGGACATGCCCCTCCCCAGAGTTGAACAGACATGACCGGGGCCACGCAGGCAGTCTGTGGCAGAGGAAGGGGCTGGGGACCCACCTACCGTGATGTCATCGGGCGTGTAGAGCTTCGGGTCATTGGCGTCTCCCTAGGGGCAAGAGCGATGCAGTCTGGGGAGGGCCAATGCCCTTTGACCTTCCCTGCCCCCCAGTCACCCCTTGCCCCCCCAACACACAGCTGGGAGGGGACTGCAAAGGACCCATTGGCTCCCAACCAGCACCTATAAGAACCCTCCCTCCTGGGGAGGGGGCGGAGCCCCTCTTTGGCCATGCCCACCAGCCCCATTGGCTCCCAACCAGCAAGGATACACCCTATCAAAACCCTCCTTTGTGGGAAGGGGTGGGGCCTACCAGCCACACCCACCCATGCCATTGACTTCCAAGCTGGCAAGGATCGGCCTATCAGATGCTTTCTCGCTGGGGTGTGGGGGCCTTTCCTTAGCCACACCCACCCGTCCCATTGGCTCCCAAACTGGCATGGATTGGCCTATCAAGAGTCTCCTTCACTGGGAGATGGAGTATTGGGGGGAGGGGGGGGGCATAAAACATATTCCTAGCCACGTCCAACCATCCCGTTGGTTCCTGGCTGGCAGGGATCAGCCTATCAGAGGGATGCATGGGTGTGGCCAAGAAAAAAGCCACACCCCCTCCCCAACCACAGAGGTGGCAGATGTCCCACACTATGGGGAGTCCCCAATAAATGAGGGGGCACAGGATGGAGGGATGCCCCAGGCCCACCCCCCGGGGGGGGGCAGGAGTGGGGGCTGGGGGCCGGGACCTGGGACCCCCCCGGACTCACCAGCAGGCGTGTGACGTTGTGCAGCAGGCGGACGCCCTCGCGGCACCCGGGGGGCTCGCGGCCCGGGACACACGGCAGCAGCGACACCAGCAGCAGGGTGCAGAGCCCCCGGGCACCCGTGTGGGGGTCCCCATCCAGCCCCGCGCCCGCCCCGCACACCGCCATCCCGGGGTGGGGGCTGCCCTGCGGAAGAGCACAGAGGGGAAGGCGAAGCTGGGGGGGCAGCACCTAGGATTCCCCACCCCAGAGCTGGTTGCATTTCAATGCCCAGAGGGTGAACCAGGTGTAACACCAGCTGGGATCCACCCCAGACCTGGCTGCATTTTATAATACAGAGTACCCCCACAGGGACTGCTATGTTGCACCCCGGACCTGGCTGCTTTTCAATGTCCAGGAAGTGACCCAGGCGTAACAACAGCCAGGATCCACCCCAGAGCTGGCTACATTTTGATGCCTGGAGAGCGACCCAGGTGTAACACAGCCGGGACCCACCCGAGAAGCAGCTGCGTGTCATTCCCCACCCCAGAGCCAGCTGCTTTTCAACGCCGGGCGAGCGATGGAAGCACGGAGCAGGGCTGGGTGTCTGACCGGCCAAACAGTTCAATCAAGGATCCAAAATTGCCAAGAGGTGCAAACCCCACCGAGAAAAAGCACCTGCTTTCCATAAAAAAACCCGTTAAAAAGTCACATTTCTGGCAAGAAAAAAAGGAGCTTTTTTGGTGCAGCGGCTCCCATCTGCGCCCAGCCCGGAACTACGCAGTCTGTTCACACTGTCTGAGCGGCCTGAAAATTGGACCGCAAGGGCGGGAAACGACCTCGGGGGGTCACATCCAGGCCGACCCCTGCCCCCAGCAGGACCAGTCCCAGCTCCATCACCCCCGCCACAGCTTTGTCCACCCGGGTCTCCAAAACCTCCAGGCACGGAGACTCCCCCACCGCCTCTCTGGCGGAGCCTGCTCCAGTGCTTTCCTGGTGAGAAAGCCCTTCCTAATATCCAAGCTCAGCTTTCCTTGCTGCAGCTTGTGCCCATTGCTCCCTCTGCCACCACTGAGAGCAGCCCCGCTCCATCCTCTTTGCAGCCGCCCTTAAAAGCTGCTATCAACCCGCCTCGGTCTTCTCTTCTGCAGACTCACTCAGCCCAGGTCCCTCGTCCCTCCTGCTCCCAGCCCCCTCCATCTCCCTTCTGCAGTGGGACGGGCGGCCGCAACGGGACTCCAGATGTGGCCTCCCCTCCACCCAGAGCTGGCTGCATTTCATGGCACGGGAGCCCAGGGCGATGCCCAGGTAGAACAGCAGCCGGGTCCGCCCCAGAAGCAGCTGCATTTCCAGGTCTGGGCAGCGGCCACCCTGGTTCTCCCCGGAGGCGCCTGCAGGTCCCGGCCCCCCGGCCCCACTCCCCCCAGGCCGGGCAAAGGCCGGGGCTGGGCGGCCTCACTCACGCTGTCGTGGGTTCGTGGCTCCCAGCCGGATGCAGGGCGGCTGCTTCTCCGCGCGGGGAGGCCGGCCCCGGGGCGGGGTTTGCGGGGGGGTGCGAGGGGGAAACTGAGGCACGGCCCCGAGGGACCCGGGCGTGGCCAGGGCAGCAGGGAAGGTGGGGGGCCAGGGCCGGGGAGGGGCCTGGGCGTCCAGCACCCCCCAGCTCAGCAAGGGGCCCCACCCAGAGCAAGCCCGGACCCCCGCTCTGCCCCCGGGACCCAGCCGCCGGGCTCTACCCACCAGCCCCCACTGCCCTCTCTGGAGCCGGGCTCCCGTAACCCCCCCTGGAGCTGGGGGAGAACCAGGGGGCTGGGCTCTGGGGGGCACACGTGTGTGCAGAGTGAGCATGAGCGTGTGAGAGACCTGGAGGGGAGGGTCCCCAACACCTGGGTGCCAGACGCGTGTGCACAGCACTTGGGAGGGCAGGAACCCAGACACACGTGTGTCCCAGATGCCTGGGTCCTGTGTGTGCACGTGTGCACCTTGCACACCTGGGTCCCAGACATGTGTGTATGCATGACACCTGGGTCCCAGATATGTGTGCATGCGTGTGACACCAGGAGGGGAGGGTCCCCAACACCTCTGTGTGCACTTGTGTGCGCCCCAGGCACGTGGGGCCCCCCGTGCGTGGCACACGCAGGCCCGGACCCCGGGTGGAAGGAGGCGCGGAGGCGGCTAGAGAAACAGCTGCTCTTTATTGGCGGGGGGGGGGGGCCCCTTTCCAAAACCGATACAAGCCCGCCTGGCCCGTGAGCCCCCAGGTGCCGCGGGGGGTAGGAGCCGGGCTGTGCAGGGGCTGGGGGTTGAATGCTGCTGGGGGGGGACAGCTCGAGCTGTGGCACCCAGGAGTCCAGGCTCCCAGCACCCTCCAGCCACTAGGCCTCGCTCCCTTCCTCGGGCTTGCAGCTAGGAACCGGGGAGCCTGGGCTCCACACCGCCCCCCCAAAACACGTGCCCTTCTTCCTCAGGCTGGAAGAACCCGGGAGTCCCGGCCCCCGGGCTGTAGCCACGAGGCCACACACACCGGCCACAACCCAGGCGCCCTGGCACCGTGGCTCACCGCTAGACCACACAACACCCAGGCCTGGGAAAAGAACCCCGGAGTCCTGGCACCGTCGCTCACCGCTAGACCACACAACCCAGGCCTGGGAGGAGAGCCCAACCCACAGTTGTAACCTGCTCCCATTGCACTTGGAGGCTCGATTAGTCCATGAATTACGGTAGTGCCCCCCGCACAGCCACTACGGCCCCCAGGAGCCTAGGAAACTGAGGCAGAAGGGGGGAGGGGCAAAGATTCCTTCGGCTCTAATTGCACCATGGAGCACAGCCCCCCCTCCCCCAGGACCGGACCCCCAGTGTCACTGCATTGGGAGGTGTAAATCAGTGCAGCTCCATTGGCACCCACAGAGCCAAACCCTCAGTGCGGACGTATACTGCACTGGTGGCAGTCGTGGGAGCCCCACGGCCTCCACGGGGCCAAATCCACAGGGGGGAGGGGTGTCAGTTGGCACTGCACCAGTAGAAGTGGTGGGAGCCATGGGATCCACATCAACTGGCACCCAGGGGGCCACGGCTGCAGAGGGGTATAAACTGGCATTGTACCCATGGTGTCAATTGACATTGCACCAGTAGAGCTGGTGGCAGTATTGGGATCCCTTCCTTTGGCACCCAGGGGCCCCACTGCACAGTGGGGCATAAACCAATGTCACACCTGTAGAATTGGTGTCAGCTGTGGGAACCCCACTGACCTCCCCAGGGCCAAATCCATGGGAGCAGAGGTGTAAACTGGCATTGCAGCAGTGGCATTGATGGTGTTAGCAGTAGGATTCCCCCCCCTTGCACTTGGCAACTCCACAGATGGGCATAAACTGGCACTGCACCACGGCAAGTGGTTGTAGGGTGGGACCCCCACAAGTACCCTCAGGGCCAAATCTACAGGGACCAATAGTGTAAACAGTTATCACACCAGGATAACTAGTGTTAGCAGGGGGACTCCCTCCTCCCCCACCCCAGTTGGCATGCAGGGGGGCAACCCCACAGCCAGGTGTAAACTGGCACCACTGCAATTGGTTCCAGAAGTGGGATCCCCTGCAGTTGGCTCCTGGGGGGCCAAATCCACACCCAGGTGTAAACTGACACTGCTCCTCAGCACTTGGTGGAAGCCGTGGGATCCCCACAGCCATCTGCACAATACCCCACCCCACACTTTAACCCCAGGTGGGATCTGCCCACCTTATCCCCCCCCCAGGGCCTGTTAACCCCTCCCCTCCTCAGCCTTCCCTTTGGTCCTGGTGCCCCCACGGAGTGGGGCGGGGAGGTCACGTCTTGGGGGGCCCCTGGCAGGCGCCCAGGCGGCGGGCGCTGGGGGGGGCTAACGGGGGAGGAGTGAGGCTGACCTGGGCCATGCGGAAGCCGGCAACGCGCCCGCCACCCCCCAGCTGGATGTTGACGGTGGTGGCGTAGCTGGCGCGGGGCAGAGTGGGGCTGGGGGTGCCGCCCCCCCCAGGCCGCTTGGCCAGGCTCTGGCTGATGCAGGAGGCGGCGAGGTATCGGGACAGGGCCGAGGGGCGCCGGGGGGCCAGGGGCGGGCCCTGATCTGGGCTGCCAGGGTGGGCGAGGGGCACTGGGGTGCTCCCCTCAGCCCCCGGCAGGGCTGGGCGCACGGCCCTGCACGGCGGCGTCTCCTCTTCCGGGCCCGGTGGGTGCTGGGGGACAGCTGTCTCCGCCAGGGGCTCCTCCGTGGGATGCAGGAGTCCGGGTGGGAGGAGGGGGGCGATGGGCACCAGGGTGCCCCCCTCTGTCCCCAGCAGGGCCGTGTGCACGGCGCTGGATGTCTCCTCCTCTGGGCCGGGGGATTCCAGGGGGCTGCAGGCAGCCCCTATCTCCAGGGGGTCCTCGGCCGCAGGCGGGAGCAGGGTGGTGACAGGCACGGGGGTGGCGACAGGCACAAGGGTGCTCCCCTCAGCCGCTGGCGAGGCTGCGTGCATGGCGCTGTACGTCTGTGTCATCTCCTCCGGGCCTGGCAGCATGGCGGGGCTGCGGGTGGCAGTCTCTGGCGGGTCCTCGGCTGCGGGACCCAGGCGTCCGCGTGGGAGTGGGGTGCCCTCCGCAGGCTCCAAAGGAGCCGGGTGCACGGTGCTGTACATCTGTGTCCCGTCCTCTGGGCCTGGAGACTCCTGGGTGGTGGCAGCGGTGGGAACCAGGCGTGCGGGCGGGCGGAGGGGCGGGGGCCGGGTGGCATGGAGGTCGCGGGTGCAGCCCCGGGCGGCGCTGAGGCGCGGCGGTGTCTCCTGCACACAGCACACGTGGCGTGGGGGGTCCCGCACCAGCACGTGCCCGTAGAGCCGCGGCTCGCCTGGGGAGAAGGGGGGGGTCAGCATGGGGGGAGGGGGGGAACACCCCGGCCTGCCCTCCCCTCCCCTCCCCCCACCTCTGTCCAGCCTGCAGGTGTGGAAACTGAGGCAGGCAAAGTAGGAAACCCCCTACCGTGTGTGTGTGTGTGTTTTACATACCAGGGCCCCGTGTGCACATGCATACATGTTCTGGACACCTGGGTCCTCTGTGTGTGCATGTGCGTGCACATGACCTCGATGCCTGGGGTGTGTGTGGTAGACACCTTGGCCCCACGTGTACATGTATGTTCCAGACACCTGGATCCCGTGTGCGTGTGCAAATGTGTGTACACATGACCTGGCTGTGCACACCTGTCAGTCCCTACTGCCCTCTGCTGGACAGATTGACAGCTGCTCCGTGTGTGCGCCTGTGCATGTTTGCCCGCTCGCAGGTTGTGTGTTCACTCCTGCAAGTGTGCCGTGTGCACAAGTGTGTGTACATGTGTGTGTGCATGTGTATACACGTGTGGGCCACCCCCCCCAGGTGACGGGGCAGCTGGTGACAGGGTTTCTGGACCCCCAGAGCACTCCCCTAGCGCATGCTGGGGAAAACCTGGATGACCCTGGGGCTCCAGAAAGCAATGCATTGTGGGAAACGCACTCCCCCCAACACCCAGGCACTTTTTGCCCCAGGTCTCCCCTGCCCCAATGCATGCTGGAAAAGCTCCAGGTACAATGCATTGTGGGAAACCTGGTCCCCCAACCCCACCTACCCTGGCGCATGCTGGGAAAGCTCCAGGTACAATGCATTGTGGGAAACATTCCCTCCCAACACCCACCTGCCTCCTGCCCCAGCTCCCCTTTGCCCTGGTGCATGCTGGGAGGGCGCCAGACAATGCATTGTGGGAAACCGTGGGCTTCCAGGCACTCACAGGCAGGGGCTCCGGGCAGCTCCGTCTCCCTCTCCATCTCCATCTCGGCAGCGGTGGGGGGCAGCAGCACGGTGCGGGGGGCCAGGGAGGGCCGGGGGGGCCGGGCAGGCATGCGCAGCCGTCCAATCCGCTCGCTGTAGAGCTGCGCCAGGAGCTGCACGTTGCTTCGCGCCAGGGGCGGGAGCGGTGCCAGGGGCGGCCCCTCAGCCCACGGCCCCCCAGCAGTGTCCGAGTCCTCCACGATGCGCAGGGGCTCCGCCCAGGGGGCGGGCTCCAGCCTTGGGCCCTGCCCCCGGACCCGCCCCCGCCGCAGCATTGGGGGCGGAGCCCCAGCAGCCCCCAGCCCCCGCTCCTTCTCCTGCCAGGCCCGGCGGATCTCGGCCCAGGACAGGAACTCAGGCTCCGGTGGGGGCGGGGCCAAGGGCTGGCCACACCCCTTCCCAGCATCCCCTGGGCTCTGGTCTGGCAATGTCCCTTGGTCACGCCCCTTCCCAGCATCCTCTGGGCTCTGGTCTGGAGATATCCTTTGGCCACGCCCCTTCCCAGCATCCTCTGGGCTCTGGTCTGGAGACATCCCTTGGCTCCGACCCTTCCCAGCATCCTCTGAGCTTTGGTCCCTCGAGGTCCCTGTGCCATGCCCCCTGGCAGGCTCCAGGGGGAAGGGCTTGAGTGGACAAGCCCCACCCCCTGGGGCAGGGGGGGATGGAGGGCAGCTGCAGGGGGAGGGGGGGTCCTCGCTCTCCTCCAGCCCCCCCTGGGGGTCCCCGGCGGGCGGCCAGGCCTGGGGGCAGCAGGGGCGGGGGCTGTCTCAGTGTCCAGGGCGGGGGGGGGGGGGGCCCCCGGGGACCCG